AGTAATATTGCAAAATCCATAGTACCAAATGCAAATAAGAGGAAAAATATATGTGCAAAGTTTTTATGCTTGTTTGTTGCCCACAAAATATATAGCCATTGAATTTGTTGAGAGAATGTGACAGTTTCCATTGCAGTCAAGCCAACAGTTAGGATGTAGAGTACTGTTGTTTGGTTGATGATGCCAAGGACAAATCATCATTCATTAGTAGTATATTGCACCATTAATGTATTGAAAGAAACTGTCATCAGATGTAATCAGTAGGTTGTTTGTGAAAGAACCATATTCACATTTTAATTTTGATATTTCTAATCATTGTAGGAGCTGACCCAGAGGATCTTGTATCTGTTTGGCTGCCATCTACAGGACTACATCAGGGCCAAGGAACTGGTGGCTGAGCAGCAGATGCCCCTGACAGCAGAGTGTAGCAACGAGAGTGAGCGGTTGTGGAAGGTGTATTCCAGGGTTACCACACCTCATCTAGCCATGGCCAGTGACACAGTGGAACTCAACTACACCCGAGCAGTCGTTGACTTGTTGCTGCATGTTTTGGTGCCATCGCCGCACTTAGAGACCCGCACTGGGCGATTTGTTGTTGGAGAACTCATCACTTGTAATGTCTTTCTCCCTCTCATTGGAAAACTGTCTGACCCTGACTGGCTAAACCTTCTCATGATTGAAATATTTGAAAAGTCCCAAAAGCCACAGGAACCAGTTGTTACAGAGCCAATGACATCATTGTCATCACCATCCCCTGCTGAATCAGAGCTTGGTTCGCTACAACAGACAACACATGCACCTCAGAAGAATACGGAAAGTCCTCCAGCAAGAGCAGAGACTGAAATGGTCCAAGAGACAGAGATGAATGAGCTTGGTGCCTGTGATGTCTTTGACTCAGAGGAGGTGGACTGTCCACAGAATAGAATAGCTGAAGAGGAAGAAACTACTCAACCTTATCTAAAGCATTGCACAAGAGTCAAGTCAAGCCCATTTTACCAGGAAAATTACTCTGATCCAAATTCTCCTTTGGTTGGCTATAAACGGAGTTCTAGTGATTCCCTGGTCATGATAAGGCGAGAGGAGGGTCTCTATGACAGAGAGAAAGAATATATTACATCTGTCGAAAACCACAATGGTGTGAACTTGGAAAATGTTTGCCCCTGTCCAGTGGATGGCTCCTGCCCTAAGGTTCTGGTCAATTCAAAACCAGTAGAACATCCTAATGGCTGTGGCCCCTCATTAGTTGGGATGGGAGTGGGGACTGCCAACCTCCAAGACTTGGAGAGGGAGGGTGGTTCCCCTTCAGTCAACTCACCCAGAGACTTCCTCCTGCATGTAGAACCGACCGGGTTGGGGAACCCCAATGAGCTGACTGTAGTCAGTCCATTGCAGGGCTCTTGCCCCATGCAGTCATTCAGTTTTGAGCCCCTCAGCAGCCCTGATGGACCAGTCGTCATCCAGAACCTCCGCATTACTGGCACCATCACAGCTAAAGAACACAGAGGCACAGCCTCACACCCCTACACACTATACACCATCAAAGTAGGGAAATGACATAATCTCATTCTATTTCTTCTGCTTTTGTTCATTATTC